TCTTGACCTGGGAGCCCCGAGGGAGCGGGACCCGACACCCCTTGCCCACTCGCCAACCCGAGGCACGGAGTCCAGGATGGTGCTGGCCTCTGGTGGCCGGTCGGGGAATTGCAGGAGCCGGTCGGGTCAGTCGCCGCTGCTCTGCAGGCACTGGGTGGAGGGAAGAGGATGCATGTCCCTTAGCTGAGGGGCCGATGGCTTCCTGGCCTCTGAGGCTCAAGTGTTACTTTGCCATTTATAAACTTTATTTTCATAGGTTGCGAAGTTTTGTACAGAATAAAAAATGAAATTATTTATACTCTGGGTTTTGTTTCTTTGGGGAGGGTGTGTGCTTCCGCGGTGCCGACCAGAGGGGTCCGGCGTCTCCCCCCTGACATAGGCCTGGACCCCACTGACCTCTGGGCCACGCGTTTGGGCCTCTACCCCGCCCACTCCCGGTGGCATGGACGACAGCTCAGTGTCCTTGAGGATCTGCTGACAGTCTACAAGCCAGTCCCCCTGAATGTCTGGGGAGCGCCTACCTTTCTCCCGTCATCCAGGCACCTGCGGGGCCTGCACCCTCTGCCCTGGGCTGCGGGCGGTGTTAATTCGGCGGCAGGGCCTTGCGTTCTGGTCCTGAGAAACAGCTGGAAGCCCGACTCCTCTGGCGCCCTGAGCTTCCCCCTCTGCCCCACGCCCACCGGCTCCTCCAGCTTGGCCCGGCCCGGCCCGGCCTGGCCGTTCTGCTCCGAACCCACGGGCTGCAGACTTCCAAAACAATCGTATTTTTATTGACTTTTTTCTGAATGCAATGACTGTTTTTTACTCTTAAGGAAAATAAACATCTTTTAGAAACAGCTCGATACACACAATCTTCAGTGTGAAGCAATATACTAATAAGAACACTAGTCTTAACATTTACAGTCTTCATATATATTATATATATGTATATGTATACATATATATACACTATATAACGAGGCCAGATATAATACACACGTTTACCATTTTACAGTCTATGTACAGGAAGTTGCTAGGTGCCCCGGTCTGGGGCTGCCTCAGGCCTATTGAAGCACGGACAGAGCTGAGGGCAGGGGGCCCAGGGACTGGCCTGGGCTGGGGGGCCGCTCGGGACAAGCGCCCTCGCTGTGCCCCCCGGGGCCTGTGCTGAGGCGTGCGCGACGACGGCAGCGACACACGGAGAAGCGAGCATGTTCCCCACATATGTACATTCTATGCAACATCGAGGGGGGGTACACAGGTTTGCACACAGATCCAGGCTGCTCTGCTGTGGGCGGTGGGTGCTGCGGTCCCGGAGAAGGGTCGTCAGAGGGCACCACGGTCCGCTGGAGCTGGGCTCTGAGGAGACTCCTCTGGGCCCCAGGCGGCTCAGGGGTGGGTGGAGGACTGGAAAAGGGAAGAACCGAAGCAAAAGGGGTGCCCCCCAGTCCAGCTTACCCCCGGGAACCTGCATCTCTTGGGTATGGCCCCCGGCTCTTCTGGCTCTGCTCAAACTACGAGAAGGTTTTGGCAAATGCTGGGTAGGAAGGGCGCTCGGGCAGGTCCTGGGTGGTTTGTTCCAAAGCCTCTGGCCCACCCCCTGCAGCCCTACCCCGCACTCCTAGGAGCCACCTCTGTCACCTCCAGGCCCCTCGGCCCAGCTCCAGGGTGCAGCTGTGCGGGTAGCACCGCCGTGATGGAACTCCCTGCTGGGACCTGGGCCCCTTCCCAAGCCTGGCCGGGTGTGGGTAGGAACGCTGTGGTCCGCCGGGAGCAGGCAGCTCCAGAACCTGTTTTCTTCCCAACCCGGGACCTGGTGGTTCAGCCCTGGGCAGCCAGATCCACGGCCCTCAGGTCAGGGTGGCCCTGCGAGGTCTCGGCTGGCTGCACAGAGGCCCCTCCGCGGGCAGGTCGCCGCTTCCCCAGCCTCGGCGGTTACAATGGAAGCCTCTGCAGGAGAAGAGCACACGCCCGCCCGTTACTGACCCGGCCTGTGCGCTGCCCGCACCCCTAGACCCGCGGCCCCAGAGGCTCCCTGAGGGCGGGGCTGGGCTCTCGCCTGGAGGCAGCTGGCCCCCTGCCAGGCTCTTCCTTCCTCCCAGTCCTCGCCCTGCCCTGTCCACAGTCCCGTGCCCCTGCCTGTCCTCCCTGGTCTCCTGCCCGGGGTGCCCTCCCTCAGGACCCACGAGCTTTGTGAAGCATCTTATGGGCAGCAAGTGCCGACCTGCCCAGGCCCAGGGCTGGGGCCGCCGTGGGCGGGTGGGACTGGCATCTGGGGGTGGGGCAAGCACTCCCTCCATCGGTCCAAAGAGCATGGAAGGGCATGAGGGAAGGGAGGCCCCTCTCCAGCCCGGAGCCTCCGGGGGCCTGTGGTCACCTACCTTATGCTTGGGGCATTTCAAAGAAAAGTTATCTTCGGTGAACGCGCAACCTGTGGCCAAGAGAAGTGGGTGTGGTTAGGGCAGCCGCTGGCCCCCCAGGCCCCAGCTACAGGGGTTCTTTGCAAAGAGGGAGAGAGCCAGGCCCATTTGAACTCCACAGGCAATCTCGCGGCTGGCTCTGCCCCCCTCTGCCCTGCTGGCCTTCCTGTCCTCTTACCTGCCACCGCTGGTTCCCAGCCCTTCCCGACTCCCCAGATGTAGCAGGCCCCACCCCGGCTCTCCCCGCACCCTCTGGGGGGGGGGCGCCCCTAGAAGAGGCTCTGATGCCCAGTGATGCTCACTGAACGAATGTTAAGGGACTGGGTGGTGCAGCCAGGGGTCTGGATTCGCGCATCAGCTCCTCTGAGCCTTGGTCTCCACATCGGTAACAGGGCACGAGGGCACCCACTGTGTCCACGTGGGGTAACGAGGAGGCGTGTGCAGGCTCCCGCCAGGTGTGGGTGTGGACTTGCTCCTGCGGGGCCCAGAGGGGAGGCAGGCCTGGCGTGGGGCTGAGCACATGCCCGCAGGCACCTGAGTGCCAGGGCACTGCCCACCCTGGGGGAGCAGAGAGGCAGCTGAGCATGGCCGGTCCTTGATGCCCTCAGCCAGGGCAGTGCTGTTGTCCCCACTCCTCACCTGCTGCCACCTAGGGAGACCCTGGCTTTTCCCTGGACCCCTCCCCACCCACCCCACACCCTAGTGAGCCTAGTCCTGGGCTCATTCCCCTCCCTCCCATGCCCCACCCGACACTGTTCAGAATAAACCCTAAACCCACAGCCAGCTCAAGCTGGCCACAGGGAGTCCTCCTGCCGGCGTGGCCAGCGGTGGTGGCTCTGGGCAGTGGCACCAGGGCAGCGTGGTGGCTCGTAGGTGGAGGGGGAGGTGGGGCAGGTCTGCAGCCTGGAAGGCTCCAGGCCTCTCTGAGGTTGCCTCTTCTTTTTCCACCGCCCACCGCCCCCCAGAAGCTGGGGGGCCCCACGTTCTGAAAACGGCCACGAGTTTCTGCACGGCAGGGCCAGCAACTGGAAGTGGGTCCCGTGTCTCCTGAGCTCAGGCAAACCAGACCGGTGCTGGGGCTGAATTCACACTTTCCAAAGGGCTTCAGGCTAAAACCCCAGGCT